AAGTGTGGTGATTACATTAACTTGTTCATGATGTTGTCCACTCGAAGGAGGGAGTTCACCAATCACAAATTCCCCTTTCGAGTTTACCACACTTTGAGCTGGAAGTTTACCCATATCCCTTTTATGAAGTTGATTCACAAAAGTATCCAATTGTCCTAATTAGGTTTCAATTTTAGCTATGGATTAGGAATGAGTATTGACCAATTGCACAGTTAATTGCATGCCATTAAGGACAGCCATGATTTGCTTGTTGGTGTTCAATATCTCTTCCAATTGGGATGGGTGGAGAGGAGCAGAATTTAGACTTGAAGAGCTTTGATTGTATGGAGGAGGACGATAGCTTGTAGAAGCTTGGAATGGCTAGTTCATGGGTTGAGCATTAGATTGATTTTGTTGTCCATAACCTTGAAATGCTGAATTTTATGGGGGCTGGTTGCCTCCACGAAAAATTCGGGTGATCTTTCCATCCCGGATTATATGTATTAGAGTACGGATTATGTCCAAGACGAGAAAACATAGCATTGGCCTGCTTTTGCATACCTCCAGAAAATTACTCCAATGTGGGGCAATCTTCTTTATAATGAAAAATGCTTGTGCAAGATGTACACATAGCACTTGATAAAGAATTTTGAGAAGAGGAGAGATGTGGTGCCACTAGCTGAAAAACTTTGTGTGCTATGGCATCCACTTGAGATGATTTTTCCCTTAATGTCCGTGGTTGGCACGGATTTGAAGGTTTCTCAACACTAGAAGTAGGAGCTCTATGAGAATTAAGTTGAATAGAATTATCACTCATATTCTCAAGCAAAGTCCATGCTTCATCTGCATTTTTGGACATAAACATACCCCCACAAGAAGAATCAATTAACTATATACGTGGTTCGGTTAAACCATCATATAGAAGGCTTGCATCAATTGCCATTTTGGAATTTGGTGGTGCGGACACTTCCTAAGAAGATCTTGGAATCTTTCCCACGTCTCATAGAATTGTTCCCTATCTATTTGGGAGAAACTAAGAATGGAACGATGCATTTGATTGGGCCCATGTAGTGATGCAATTTGCAAAAAGGGAGTTCAACCAATATTTTGCCCTATCCTTTAAAGAGAATGGGAAAAGACGCATGTGAAGTGTTTGTTGAGGAAAGTCCCTCATGTTGATGGTAGAGCAGATTTCTAAAAACTTATCAAGATGCTTGTAAGGGTCCTCGTTATCAAACCCATGATAGGATGGAAGTATTTGGATTGTGCTGGATTTGATTTCATATTGGTGGGCATCGACATTGGGTATGACGATACAAGATGGAGATATATATGTTGATGGGATAAAATGGTCTCTAAGAGTCATGGGTGCTACATTTTCATTAGCAATTTCATCATTATTGACTCTAGGAATTTCAACCCTAACATTATCTATAGCATTTTCCACATTTTCAGCCATGTTATCAATTTCAATTTCTCAAATTTCTGAGACCCCTAAGGTTCCTTTTTCTGTTGTCTAACAGTTTTTTCTAATGAAACTATGTCAACTTGTTTTTCAATGGTTGACAATGTTAAAGACTTACAACCCAACATCAACTAGCATGCACCCATACAAAGCAAATTATACTAAGAATTTAAACGTAGTGAATATCAATTTTGAAACACTTACAAATGAGTGCGATTTCTCCAAATTTTTAGAATTTTTCTGGATTTTTTAGCACTTGAAAAACACCTCAAAGCAGCCCCTTCGCTTCAAATTTGCACTCAAAACACTTGGCAAACAAATGAAAAACAGAAAAATGTATACAAAAATTATATTTACGAACAAACTGAATTTAATCTTTGAAATTTTTTTATAACAAAACTGATTACAATCCCCGGCAACGGCGCCAAATATTGATAACGTGCAAGACAGGGTATCAATAATAAACCACTCACTAAAGCACGAATTCGCTAAGAAAGCGGCTAAGTAGGGGTATCGATCCACAAAGACTGTGAAGCTTATGGCAATTAGATTTCAAAGACTAATTTCTGCTTTATTAATGTTACAAAAGATGGTTTGAAGAGTTGTTTGTTTGTCGCTTGCATAAAAATTAAATAAAAATAAATCGAATTCAAAGATTTAAAAAACAATTAAAGGGAGGCTAGGGAATTGAGTTCACCACGACCTCGTAATCATGCTTTAGTGTAAATAACTTGGGGAAACAACTACTTGTGATGTTAAAATGTAGAAGTATTGACAACTACAACAATTTTTCAGAAAATCATGCAATTCAAGACTAAGCATAACCCATCTGCGGTTGGCATGGCTCATCCACCTAAATTAGGGTGTGGTATGAGCCATCTTCCCCAGACATGGCCTATGAAGGTCTTAAAATTACAAGTTTTAGCACATGAAATAAATTCTCTAGCATAGACTATCTTTGATTGGCATAAACCATCTACCTAACTACGTTAATTTAAGGTGTAGCATGGTCCATCTTCCCTTGGCATAATCTACCTAAATTCATACATAGCATGTCTATAATCCCATTTCATGAAATCAATCTTCATTGTCACTATAAAGATATTAAGAATATAAATATATAATCATGGTTCTAAGACAAAAAGTACATGGCATATGTACTTATATATAATATTCTGCCCAGATCATGCATCAATTTAATGTATTACATAAAATGAACACAAATCTTCTTCTTATTCATGAAACTCATCATATACAATATTATTCCACAAATTAAATAACAGAAATTATATGATTACTTTGATCAAGAAGGCTACCTCAATCCCCTAGGAGGGGATTTAGCTCATCCTGGTGTTGGTTGAAGCTCCAATGGTTGAAGAGGAAGCCTCCATCTTCAGCTCTATGGCAGCCACGCCAAAGAACACTCAAGAACCCTAGTTATTCCTCACTTTCTCTCTCTAGAAACTTACAAAATTTGAATTCTAAAATGATATATGATATGTGATACAACATTATACATGTGTATTGTAATGACCCGGTCATTTCCTTCCTTTCCTTTTTCCTTAGAATTTTACTGATGATTTTTTTTTTCATTGAAATTCCTTTTCTAAGTTCGGTTTCTCATCATTTAGTGTCGTCTCGAATGCTCAGAAATGGTTTCTGAGACTCTTTCCTTTGGATTGAAAACTTCCTTTGAGGACCGAGTCATTTCCACATTTTTCGTTTTTTGACACTATTCACTTTTCGTCCTTTTCCCTGTTTTGTCCTTTTCCCTATTTTGTCTTTTCCCAGTTTGTCACTTTATTGGCAAAACCTCACTCCTTGTGTTCGGAGTTGGTTTTTAACTTCACGTATCTTCATTCTAAGTGGTTTCCACGAAACATGTATCTTTACTTTTGCAGAAAAGTACTTTGGTTGCTCCCGGTGTCCATAGGGGCATGGATGTATAGTTTTTCAGAATCTTTTTCTTTTCTTGGGGTGTTTTTCGTAAATATCTTTTGAAGATATTTTATTTCAGGGGTTTTTAAGAAAATATTTTTGGAAGATATTTTCATTCTGGGGCATTAGTGCAATTAACCCTTTTTGGAGGGGCCATTTTGCAATTAATGAAAGTTATTGTAAAATACTTTGTCTGGAGCCTGGATCCTCGTACGGGATTCATTTTCACTTTTCGTCGACTCGTAAATTCTGGGAATTTCCTTCTGGTTGTTTTTCTTCAGTTTCAGGGTTTCTGGCTCCGGTTGCCGCTGAACTTGTTCGGGGCATATCTCTTTGCTCGGAACTCAGTTTTTGACGCCGTTTCTTCCGTTATTCATATTTTCTCATTTTGAATCTTTTTGGTTCACAGAGTTTTGCTGTTTGAGCTTGTTTACTCAAATTCCACTTTTTCTGACCTGGCAGGGCCCTTTCGGGGCACTTTTTGAGATTTTCTATAAATAGGGGGACTTAAAATTAAAAATTCATCTTCTCCCCTCTCCATGCACGGCCAGAACCTGCTATGGCAGCCCAAGGGGGCTGCCACCCTTCTTCTTTCATTTGAACCTTCTTCCCTTTGTTAAAAAGTTGGAGTGCCTTCGCGTTTTGTGTTTGTCTTGACCACGCGCATCTTTCCCCCTTATTAGAACCCGTTTTTGGCCAAATTTTGAGTTCAGGTTTGAAGTCAAGTTGTAATTTTGATGGGGCTTCTTGTGGGTTCATGTAGATCGTATTGTCCCTGATAAAACCCTTCGGTATCGTCGGATTCGGAACACTTTTTTTTCGGTGGGCTTTTGAGATTTTCATCTCAAATTGAGGTAGGGGATATTTTAAGGTTATATTAAGGTTGTATTGATTGTTATATGAGCATATACAACTTGTGAGCATGCCTTGTTCAAGTTATAGAATTTAATTTAATTATTTTCTTTGTTTAAGATTTAATTCTTATGATGCTAGGCAACTTAGAAATAAATTGTGGCATGCTAGAAATTTAGGCCTTGGTATTGTAGTTGATATATATTAAATTGGGGTTATTTGAATAAGAATTGCAAATTTTATTTAATATTTATCTTTTGTGAAAGTTTAATTCACCTAGTTGTATCAAACATGAAATCAACTTGTAATGTGATATTAAAGTAGGCCTTAGTGAGTTCTTTAATGTAATGACCTGGATTTCTCAACCCGGTGCGTTAGTGATGAACCGGAAGTTGACCCGATAATGGACCCGAAATGCAGAAACGAAAGAAGCCAAATGACCTCAAGAGATGTACGTCATCCCTAAGGCCCCAAAGTGACTCTCCATGAAGTCACGGAACTCAAATGAGCCAAGCAAATGAAGCAAGAATGCCTAACTCGAAAAAAGATGAACTAAGGGCAAAATGGTCATTTCTCACTGAAAAGGATGCCACCGTGCACACCATTGGAAGGACAACGAAAAATGAACAAAATTAGACTCAAGAATCGTCTGATTCTGAGTCCGGGCAGAAAAGATATGAAATTCCAACACCCGATGCGAAAGTTATGAAGTAATGACTTAACATTTTTCAATATTTTTATAATAAATTTTGAAAACAAAAGTGCATAGAAAATGAGATACATGTCATTGGCCTCCGGCCTCATCTCATACATGTTAAATACATTGAAAAGAGTGCACTTACGTACACTTTACATATACGAATCAACGAATACAAATTTAAACAAATAGGGCTACAAAGAGGCATCTTATGCTAACACTTGCATAAAATAGAAACTTAGAAACTGTAAGCCATCCAAGGAGCAATGGAATCTTCAAATCCTGAGTCCTGTACCTGAAATATGCCCCAGTATCGTAGGGGTGAGTAACATAAAGCTACTCGTAGGAGATGAGCATGCATCGACCTAACATTTTACAATTTTATCACCTTATGGTGAAACATGTTAAAGGGGCTCATGCCACCTAACGTCTATGTCAAGATGAGACCCAGGAAGCATCCTAAGCTACCTAGATCATTTCTATCAGATCACATTGTTCATGCAATTCAAACAATATGGAAACATGTTATACAAGGCAACAAGATATAGATTCTCAAAGTCTTCAACTTGAAATCCAAAATTATGAAAACAACAAGTGTGGGTCATGCCACCTAATGTCTATGTTCAAAATAAATCTATAAAGTCATTTCTAAACTACATTTGAACATCAAAACACAAATTATGATATCGATGCAATTTAACCAACAATGGAACTTCCAATACAACGCATGAAGCATGCTTTCACAAAGCTACATCTTAAGCGCAAAATAGGAAATCAAATAAGGAACAACAAGTTACGATATCATCTAGTTATCAACTTGAAATGAAATACGAAATCAAACAAAGTGGATACTCGGACGTCATGCCGGATCAGACCGACAACATAGTTACTTTAGGGTTACTAGCCCATGGGTAACTTCCCTATGTGCGCACTAGACTATATAGAGGGACAATCTCCCGTACTAGAACCAAGTCCTAGCCGTAGCCAAACAATGACATCCCCAAGTTTCCAAAATCAATAAATTGTGCAACAACGTATATATATCAACATGTATATACAAGATATCAACTATTTACCAAGCACAATCCAAAATTTGGAAACTTATACAATACCTGCTCAAAATTCACAACTACTATGGCATGTAAGATATCAAATACAAAGTATGCAATTCCTTACACATAGCAACAATATATTCAATAAGGAAAAACATATTCTCATGAATATAAAAGTAACAACTATGTTATCTAATGCTCAAAAGTAATCAAGTGAACATACATCAAATCCAAATCCATGATTTAAATATAGAAACAACTTCCAAAATGCAATTAAATCCATGGACTAATAAAGTAGAATTTAATTAAACATAAATAGTTAAATTCTCTAAATTCCAAGTTAATCCAAATAACCACAATTTAATATATATTGAAAGACATGTCATGGTCATCATATATATAACATCAAATGACAAGTTAAGTGATTAAAACACTTAAAACAAAATTAATCAAGCTAATTAATTAATTTCCTCTAGATTTTTAAATAATTCCAAATGCCCTCAATTTAATCTATGTTAGAGAACATGCTAAGGCCTATTTAAATACCACATTACAACTTGATTTAATGCTTGATACAACCATGTGAATTAAACTTTCACTAAAGATAAATATTAAATAAAAATTGTAATTCTTAATTAAATGATCCAAATTTAATATATGTTAACCAACATATCTAAGCATAATTTCCTAGCATGTTATAATCCAATGCATTAAAGTGTTTTCACACAAATGTCAACAAGTGGACCAATGAGAATGGGACTTTGTCACACTTTTCAAAAATTACAAAAAGGTTCTTTTTGAAAATATCTTCCAAATTTAATTACAAAATGGTCCCCAAGATGAAAAATAATTACTTTATTTAATTACACTAAAACCCCACAAGTTAAGAATAATTGCAATAAAGTATGCATTAATGTCCCTTTATGAAAGAAATAAGCAATCAACATGCTTTTCTAGAAAAGTAAAAATACCACTATCATGGAAATCAAATATCATGAATGCATGCAAAACCGGAATCAAATCCGAGCACAAAAAGTGAGGTTGTGCAAGGAAAAAGAATAAACGAGAAAAAGACAAAATGTGAATAGTGTTCGGAAAAATAAAATATAGAAATGACACAATCCCCAAAGGAAGTTGTCAATCCAAGGAAAAGAGTCTCGGAAATCATTCCAGAGCACTCGAGACGACATCAAGTGATGAAAAACCGAACCAAAAAAGGAAAAGACAACGGAAAAAAAATATCCGTTAAAATCTGAGAAAAAGAAAAGGAAGAAAAATGACCGGGTCATTACAACCTTCCCACCTTAAAGGGATTTCATCCCCGAAATCTAGCCCTAACAAAACAAAAAGGCGAAACCAGGATAACTACGGAGTACATCTCTGAGTATCCCTCACAACAAGCTACGAAAGCAATCTCAAAACTGAAGACAACGTACAACCCCATGTCATTCGCACCCACGTGCTCACGGCAGGACAACCCCTCAAAAGAAAAGTGATCACATGGCCACACCACAAGTTGAAACTCACACACAGAACTTAAGGCCAGACGAGGGAACGGAAGACAACAATCAAAAGCACCCCTCCTGACAAACCATCATAAGGAACCAAAAACAACCACCAACAGAACTCCAAGATATCCATAAATCAAATCAAAGTACAAAACAAAGACGACATGGCAGTACGAATAGCGACCAGAACCCTCCCACGACGTACTCAAATGTGTGGTAGCAATGACAATTCCTAGTGCCCGCCCACACTTACTTGTCAGTAAGGTAGCATCGACGGCAACTAGCACCCGCCCACAGCACATAACTTGTACAGTAGCATGACAGTATAAGGCACCAATTCATAACCTGCCCCCACTAGGTCTACCCATGAAACCTCTCGATACAAATGACTTCAATGTCAAAAATGATCATTACCAAAAGCATTACGGAAACCAACATTTTGTGAGAGTTGAGATATGGTCCAAAGATGTCCGGCCGGACCATCCTGGCCAATCCCAAAACTCTGACAACAATGCCATAGGTACCGCTACGCTTAAGGCCTTAAATCCTCAATACAAAAAGACCAACAATTTTAACATCTCAAAACACTACTATCAACAACATCAATTACGAATCCAAAGTCTGACAAGCAAAACAGCATCTCCAAAATCCCAGATATCATCCTAAAATAGATCAACTATAAGACTACTCACTATAATCAAACATTGGATCAAAATCCCTATCACGGATAACTAGATCCTCGAAATACAAGTCCACGAAGTGGCACACACATCAAAATCTTGACAACCAAGGTCATAGAACGAGTTTCTCAAAATCGTACTTGACAACACCAAGCTAAATCAAAATTCCTCAATTTTGATCCATCTACAAACAACCACTGGAACTACGTTCCTCAAGGTCATGCCTAGTCATAACTAGGACGAGAAAACTCCATAAGCAAACCATATCCAACAATAATCCTCCAAAACTCCTCCTAAGAGTCAACCACATCCAGGCCTCCAAAACTGGAACAAGTCTCCAAAAGACATTCTCAAAAGAGCATCGAGCTCACCTCACGAATCAAACAATCCTCAAAGATATGGACATAAGTCTCCATAAAATGATCCCACACCAATCAACTCACTTAAGCACCACAACCGTCAACAACCACGGCAGGAACTCCCTAAGGGAAGACACGAAAAAAAGGGGACCACCAGTCCTAAAAAGGACAACACCACGACTCCATCTCTGAAATGAAAGACAATAAAGTCAACGACTTCACCCCCTACATGGAAGTAAGTCGACCAAAATCTATCAAATCCTCACCAAGGACTCAAGACAACAACGATGATCCTCATGGACCAACCAACCCCAAAACAATGCACAACGCAACGAAGGGAAGAGACTCACTCCTTGTGATGTCCCTAACACGAACCAGCACAAAACCATTGTGGAAACCCGCATACAGACTACGTGCAACCAAGGAAAACGAATTGGAAAACCAAACCTGAAAGTCATGCATATGACAAGGAATGCAACTACCAGAAAGAAAATCTACTTACATAGATGAAAATCAAAAGCACATGCTACACGTCTCCACATAAACACAAAAGCATGTCATTAAAGCGCAGTAACAACATGGCATCTCAAAGCATATAAGAAAGGCATGCCATTGCCACACAACAAGAAGGCAAATGTGGATAGACCTCCGCCTACTCATGCATCACAATATCATAAATCATACTACTAACATGGTAGTAAATGAAACTGCAGAAAACAAAAGTGATGCAACAATGAACCCTATGGACATCGTGTCCTAGAGTGCCTAGGTAAAAAAGAAAGGACCAGTCCTAGCCATACACTAACTCCAAAAACCAATGCAACAACAACCTATCTCAAAACAAACGTGAGCCCTTACCACAATGGTAAGACTCTTACAATCCATCTCTGAATCTAAGGGTGACACTACAAGTGACATTAACAATGCAATGCTCTCTCTACCCGAAGCATATATCAATCGACTTGACCTCAAAAGCGTCATTGCATAAGGAGAACTCAAAGAAAATGGCAACTATAGCTATACCAACAATAACCAAATCAATCACCGCGAATGATCTCCAAAACAACCATCATCATCATCGATCAAAAAGACAACGCCTATCAAAACGAAAACCAACCCTGATTCCATCTGAACTACACTTGTAGCCAGCCAGTACGGTAGCATGACAGTGCTATGCACCCGCCCACAAACGTACCCGCCCACGAAAATTGCAATCACAAAGGAATCATCTTGATCAACCAAGGATCCTAAGAGGTCCATAACCCCAACATGGCCCAAAACCAACAAATTTAGCACTACGGCAATGCTAAATGACTCACCTCATGAGAGTCTAAACAAAAGGTGACTCACCACCTACCTCAAAACCAATGCTAAGTCGATAACAACCTACACTACCATGAAACTGTGACTACAATCACCATCAACCTCAACTCGAGCCTCAATGACCAATCTCGTGTCATGCCAAATATGCAACACAGTTATGCATATACAAATCTGATCTAGAATACATCATATGTCATGCTCTTTACATAATAATTAAATCATGCTAAACAAACGGCATACCACATGTAGCATGTAAGCACATAAACATGTTATCAAACCAAAACATGTTATCATGAAGCATATAAACACATAGAGCATGGTAACATAAGCATGATATGCACCCAAAACCCGTCGTCCAAGGTATTCTGATACCACCTGTAACGACCTGGATTTCTCAACCCGGTGCGTTAGTGATGAACCAGAAGTTGACCCGATAATGGACCCGAAATGCGGAAGCGAAAGAAGCCAAATGACCTCAAGAGATGTACGTCATCCCTAAGGCCCCAAAGTGACTCTCCATGAAGCCACGGAACTCAAATGAGCCAAGCAAATGAAGCAAGAATGCCTAACCCGAAAAAAGATGAACTAAGGGCAAAATGGTCATTTCTCACTGAAAAGGGTGCCACCGTGCACACCATTGGAAGGACAACGAAAAATGAACAAAATCAGACTCAAGAATCGTCTGATTCTGAGTCCAGGCAGAAAAGATATGAAATTCCAACACCCGATGCGAAAGTTATGAAGCAATGACTTAACATTTTCCAATATTTTCATAATAAATTTTGAAAACAAAAGTGCATAGAAAATGAGATACATGTCATTGGCCTCCGGCCTCATCTCATACATGTTAAATACATTGAAAAGAGTGCACTTACGTACACTTTACATATACGAATCAACGAATACAAGTTTAAACAAATAAGGCTACAAAGAGGCATCTTATGCTAACACTTGCATAAAATAGAAACTTAGAAACTGTAAGCCATCCAAGAAGCACTGGAATCTTCAAATCCTGAGTCCTATACCTGAAATATGCCCCAGTATCGTAGGGGTGAGTAACATAAAGCTACTCGTAGGAGATGAGCATGCATCAACCTAGCATTTTACAATTTTATCACCTTATGGTGAAACATGTTAAAGGGGCTCATGCCACCAAACGTCTATGTCAAGATGAGACCCAGGGAGCATCCTAAGCTACCTAGATCATTTCTATCATATCACATTGTTCATGCAATTCAAACAATATGGAAACATGTTATACAAGGCAACAAGATATAGATTCTCAAAGTCTTCAACTTGAAATCCAAAATTACGAAAACAACAAGTGTGGGTCATGCCACCTAATGTCTATGTTCAAAATGAATCTATAAGGTCATTCCTAAACTACATTTGAACAACAAAACACAAATTATGATATCGATCCAATTTAACCAACAATGGAACTTCCAATACAACGCATGAAGCATGCTTTCACAAAGCTACAGCTTAAGTGCAAAATAGGAAATCAAATAAGGAACAACAAGTTACGATATCATCTAGTTATCAACTTGAAATGAAATACGAAATCAAACAAAGTGGATACTCGGACGTCATACCGGATCAGACCGACAACATAGTTACTTTAGGGTTACTAGCCCATGGGTAACCTCCCTATGTGCTCACTAGACTATATAGAGGGACAATCCCCCGTACTGGAACCGAGTTCTTGCCATAGCCAAACAACGACATCCCCAAGTTTCCAAAATCAACAAATTGTGCAACAACGTATATATATCAACATGTATATACAAGATATCAACTATTTACCAAGCACAATCCAAATTTTGGAAACTTATACAATACATGCTCAAAATTCACAACTACTATGGCATGTAAGATGTCAAATACAAAGTGTGCAATTCCTTACACATAGCAACAATATATTCAATAAGGAAAAACATATTCTCATGAATATAAAAGTTACAACTATGTTATCTAATAGTCAAAAGTAATCAAGTGAACATACATCAAATCCAAATCCATGATTTAAATATAGAAACAACTTCCAAAATGCAATTAAATCCATGGACTAATAAAGTAGAATTTAATTAAACATAAATAGTTAAATTCTCTAAATTCCAAGTTAATCCAAATAACCTCAATTTAATATATATTGAAAGACATGTCATGGTCATCATATATATAACATCAAATGACAAGTTAAGTGATTAAAACACTTAAAACAAAATTAATCAAGCCAATTAATTAATTTCCTCTAGATTTTTAAACAATTCCAAATGCCCTCAATTTAATCTATGTTAGAGAACATGCTAAGGCCTATTTAAATACCACATTACAACTTGATTTAATGCTTGATACAACCATGTGAATTAAACTTTCACTAAAGATAAATATTAAATAAAAGTTGTAATTCTTAATTAAATGATCCAAATTTAATATATGTTAACCAATATATCTAAGCATAATTTCCTAACATGTTACAGTTCAAATCAAAGTTATACATCATCATAAATTTTAAATCTTATACAAAGAAATAAAAATTACTAACTTTCTAGATTTGATACAAAGCATACATATATGTTGTATAATCATGATAAACACACAATACAACACACAAATAATCCTAAAACATTCCCTACCTCAATTGGAATGAAAATCCCAATTACGACCGAAATGAAATCGCCCCAAATTTTCGGTCCGCAACACAGATTTTTCAGCTTGCTACCTTCAACTTGTAAAATTCATAAAAAATTCAATTCTAACCCAAATTGAATGAATCCAAAGCCCAATGAAAGCTTAAACACTGTAATTTGATAATATCAATTTAGTTTAACAAAATATTTTCCCAATTGAAACAGTTTTCACCTATAACTTTGAAACAAATTCTGCCCAGAAAACACATTTTTAGCCTGTAGCTTCCAACTTTAAAAATTCATGAAAAATTCATTTGACATCCAAATTTGGCAAACCTAATTTATTTTAGAAGTAAACATATGAGAGTGTAAAACCAGAAATTTAAGCCATGATCCAATGTCAAAAGGTCAGTGAAATAAATCATCTAAAAATATGTTTTCCAGTTGCAATAAAAACATGGACAGCAGATCGTTTCGGATTTTAAAAAAAAATTAGAAATGCTCTAAAATTGTGAAAAAAATTCTAAGTAGTGTAAAACCATGGGAGAAGTTCCAGTAAAAATTTCAAGGCAATTAAAGCACCACAGCTCCATATAAAAATTCATTTCTTAACCGAAAAGGAAAAGCTTCAAATTTCCAGCAACTAGCTTGTAACTTCAAAAATTCATAACTAATTCATTTTAAATCCAAATTACATGAAACCAAAACTAAATGAAAGCTACTTGAGTATATTTTCATATTCTATATTTAATTTGACAAGATTAATTTCAAGTTAAAACAGTTTAAGGGCAAAATACAAGTCCTTCTCTTCCATGCATGTAAAACACTCAATAATGACATAAAAATACTTCAAAATAATAGATCAATACCTCACCAGAGAATTGAATCTCTAGATACCAAAGCAAAAGTAGGAGTTAGGCTAGATCCTTCAAAGGTTTTGAAGAAGAGGATGAGGGGAACAAAAAGTATTCTAAGCTTTATGGTCCAAAGTAATTGAAAGGGCCTCAAAGATCAAGGTCAATGCCTAAGGCTTCAAGCTCCATCCATAGAGGCTAGGGTTTTCTTGTAAGGAAGAGAATGAAATAATGTGGTTAAGTGTGAGTGGAGGAAATAGAAATCATCCACTCACTATGTGCTATTGCACCATAGTCAACACACACATCTATGGTCAATTGCACAAAAAGCCTCCTTTAAAACCATAATCCCAAAGTTACCCAAAGATATTTGCAAGACTAAATTATGAACCTACACTTGTCACCAATCTATGGCTCCTTCCTAGGCTTAATCCCACACCTACACTTGTCAACCATCCAAGCTAACAAGTTCACCAATCCTAAGCCAACAAGTGGGTGAATCCTCATCCTCCAAATGTCATCATCCAATGCATTAAAGTATTTCCACACAAATGTCAACAAGTGGACCAATGAGAGTGGGACACTTGTTACACTTTTCAAAAATTGCAAAAAGGTCCTTATTGAAAATATCTTCCAAATTTAATTACAAAATAGTCCCCAAGATGAAAAATAATTACTTTATTTAATTACACTAAAACCCCACAAGTTAAGAATAATTACACTAAAGTATGCATTAATGCCCATTTATGAAAGAAGTAAGCAATCAACATGCTTTTCTAGAATAGTACAAATACCACTGTCATGGAAATCAAATATCATGAATGCATGCAAAACCAGAATCAAATCCGAGCACAAAAAGTGAGGTTGTGCAAGGAAAAAGAATAAACGAGAAAAAGACAAAATGTGAATAATGTTCGGAAAAATAAAATATGGAAATGACACAATCCCCAAAGGAAGTTGTCAATCCAAAGAAAAGCGTCTCGAAAATCATTCCAGAGCACTCGAGACGACATCAAGTGATGAAAAACCGAACCCAAAAAGGAAAAGACAACGGAAAAAAAATATCTGTTAAAATCTGAGAAAAAGAAAAGGAAGAAAAATGACCGGGTCATTACATTGAGGACATTTGGATATGTTTGAAAATCTAGAGAAAAATTTATTAATGAGCTTAATTAATTTTATTTTAAGTGTGTTGGTCACTTAAATTGATATCGGAGGTAATAGGTTATTAATCCCATGAAACGTAGTCCGTTTAATCACCTTATGAGCATATTACAAATTTGATGTAGAATTAGTACTTGAGGCATCTCGAAATGGTAATTGGACTTAGCATGATATAGAATATCATTGACTTGCATAGCTTGTTTAGATATATCTTGTGTAGGTGTATAACTTGTTAGAATATTACAATTGTTTACCTTGGAAGCTAGTTACTAAATTGGGACGTATTTAGTACTTGTGGCTTAGTGTGGTAATATGGTTCAATTGTTATAAAATATTCTTGTTTTGGTGTATAAATTGTATATTGGAGGCTTGACATGTCATATGCCATCTAGACTTGAATTCTAGGACATGGTTTGTTTGGATTCAACCTTATTGTGCATGGAAGATGGCTTTATGCATTAGTAGATTTGGTATAAGTTTGGTCTAACTTATTGATTTTTGTATAAGTTTTGGACTTATTGATTTTGGAAAGCTTGTAAGGACATATTTCACGTGTAGCCAGGGTTTGGTTCTAGTACGGAGACAAGAGTCTTCTAAGTCATAAGTGCGCACTAGGTAGTACTTTGTGGGTCATAATTGCCTGGAATAACTTATGCATGTGCACACTAGGTAGTGCCTTGTAGGTCGTAATTACCCGGAAACACTTGTTTGGTCTAGTGACCACATGTCCTAGTCTTTCTACTTTGATTTCGCATTCAATTTCAAGTTGTTAATCATGGATTACTTGTAATTTGAGAATTAATGCTTGCTTTAGATATTTGAATCTTACTTAGTATACTTGAAACTGTATACTTGTTTTGTGCATTTAGATCTCATATAGTGTACTTGAACTTGTATGCTTACTCTGTGAGTTTAGATTTCATTTAGTATGCTTGTGCCGTGTATACTTGTTTTAGGCGTATCTCTTTTAGCTTAGTATACTTGTGTTCGTATGCTTGATTTACGAGATTTTCATATAAAATGCATACTAGTGTAAATATGCTTAGACATTGTATGACTTGTCTTAATGTGTTTTAGTATACTTGGAAATGTATGCTTGTATGTTGTATAACGTGTTTAACATTATTTAGTATACTTGAGCATGTATACTTGTATGCCGTTGTTCACTTTAAATTGCATGAGTAGCTTAGGATGCTCCATGAGTCTCATTTTGATATAGACGTTAGGTGGCATGAGCCCCTTTGACATGTTTCATCTTAAGGTATTATAATTGTAAAATGCTAGGTCGATGCATGCTCATCTCCTACGAGTACCTTTATGTTACTCACCCACGTAGTGGGGACATTTTTCAGGTACCAGGATCAAGATTTGGGATTCACATCATGCTTGGATGATTTGTAGACTTGAAGTTCTCATTTCATGTAAATGTTGGCTTGAAATGCCATTTATAGCTTTATATGTCAAAATGTGTAAATTTGATTCTATTTTTGTAATGTGTACATAAGTACACTCTTTACAATGTATTTGACATGTATGAGATAAGGCCATAGGCCAATCACATCTAATTTGTATCCTATGTAACTTTTAACTTCATGAAATATTATGAAAATATTGAAAAACGTCAAGTCATTGTCTCACCATGGTTGCATCAGGTGTGGGAATTCCGTTTTCATTCTTTCATAGGGTCTTATAAATTATGTTTGAAGTGTGACCAAGGGTCAAATGGTAATTTGAAATCATTTGTTAATTTTCGTTTTCAAATTTCTCATTTCTTTTTCATTTTCGCCTTTTTGGCCGTTGGGGGGTCGAATTCAGAGAATGAAACGGCCTTAATTGCCAACTTAGGCACTTAAAATCTTCAGAAATTTGGCTAAGGACTAAGTTTGAATCTCCCAAAATCTTTACATCTCTAACAGCCATTTCAATTAAAATCTCCAGGCCGATTATAAGCGCTTCATATTCGGCCTGATTATTTGAACATTTAAAATCTAAAAAAAAAAAGAATGAAGCCTTTCTGCTAGCTGGGGAAATAATAACAATACCTGCTCCTGCTCCATCAGCCGTGCTTGATCCAAACATCAAGATCCAAGGAGTTAAGAATATAGCTGATGACTCCAATTCATCATAAACCCATGGATCAATATCAGTTGAAGGATGATCGGCCAAAAAATCAGCCAGAACCCTTCCTTTTACTGATTTTTGTGGGACGTAGATAAAATTGAATTCCATCAAAGCCAAAGCCCACTTACCTATTCGGCCAGTGATCAATGGCCTTGATAGCATATACTTAATCACGTTAGTCTGACACAGAATGTAAACATCAACAGGCCGCATGTATACTCTCAACTTCATGGCCGAATAGTACAAAGATAAACAAAGCTTCTCAATTGAGGAATATCTGCATTCTACATCAGTTAGTACTCTACTCAGGTAGTAGACAGCCTGCTCCTTTCCATGTTCATTGTCTTGTGCGAGCATACTACCAATTGATTCTTCTGCGGCAGATAAATAAAGCTTTAACGGCCACTTCTTTCTTGGAGGCATTACAACCGGGGGGTTTGCCAAATACTCTTTTATTTTGTCAAAGGCCTTCTGATGGGATTCGTCCCAATGAAATTTCTCATGTGACTTTAATTTCACTAAAGTCAAAAAGACATGCACTCGGCCAGCATAGTTAGAAATAAATCTTCTAAGAAAACCTACCTGGCCGAGGAACCTTTGCACTTGTTTTTTGTTGGCTGGGGCCCTAGCATTTATAATAGCTTTGACCTTGTTTTGATCAACTTCAATACCTCGTTTATGTACCAAGAACCCCAAGAAATTCCCGGCTGAAACTCCAAATGCACACTTCAATGGGTTCATTTTCAATTTGTGAATCCTCATCCTTTCAAAGGCCCTTTTCAAGTGTTCCAAATGCTGTCTCTTGGCCGATGATTTCACAACTACATCATCTATATAAATTTCCATGAATCGGCCAATCATATCATGAAAGATAGAATTCATTGCCCTTTGATAAGTAGCCCCAGCATTTTTTAGGCCAAATGGCATCACAATCCACTCAAAAGTACCAATTGACCCAGGA